GGACCCAGCACCGATCATCAGGCCATGCTGAGGTGGCATCCCACATAGCACAACTAGAAGGACCTACAACTAGAATATACAACTATGTACTGGGAGCTTTGGGGAGAAGAAGAAAAAATAAAAAAGATTGACAACAGAGCTAAGCTCAGGTGCCAATCTTTAAAAAAATAAAATAAAATAAAATGTGTGTCCGTAAGTCTGTATCATTATATAAAAAAGAAAGACTAACCTCTGAAAATGTTAGCAGAGGCTATCCCTAGAGGTGGGACTAGATAGGCAGAAGGTAGTACTTTCATTCTATAGTTTTCTTATGATAGGATTATGAGTGATTTTTACTTTTTAAAATATTTCTTAGCATTTTTTAATATAGAAAAATTTTAAAGTGTGTATAGAGGAAATTTTATCTGGAGAATGTTTATAATATGTTTTAAGTGAAAAACAGAGTATGATTTTGACTTTCTGATGTATGTAAATTTTCTTTATAATATGACTTTTGTAATTTGGCAATAAAGAAGTTTTTACTAAAGCATTCTTTCTGCACTGTTTTCAACGAGAAAAAAACAAAAACAAAAACTAAAGCAAGGTAAAGATCCTAGCTAAAGATGAGGGTTGGAGGGATGGAGCATAAATAGGGAAGTAACTTATCATCCAAGTATTGGCTTTTCCTAATGTAATTAGTTTGCATAATTATACTACTACTAATTATTATAATAATAACAATAACAGCTAACATTTACTGAGTGTTTTATTAAAGCCAGATACTGTTCTGAGTACATATAACTTAGTTAATCCTCAGAGATATGCGCTGTTGTTATCCCTATCTTAAAGATGAAGCTCAGAAAAGTTAAATATCTTGCCTAAGGTTACAGAACTGCTGAGTGGCAGAGCTGTGATATAACGTATGCAGTCCATTTCCAGAGGTTGTACCCTACACACTATGTCTGCTATTTCGAAGTGGCAGTCTGGGCTATCTCTAAATGCCAGTCCACCTGTTTATCAGGGTTTTGGTTTTTTCCTCATTAATGGAAAGAGATTATTAATTTTAGGTCAGGATTCTGGCAGTCCTAGTATCCAAATTTATTTTTTCAGCCCATCAGGGATTGTGAAAGAACCTTTGTGATTTCTGTATCTCACCAGAAATGAACAGATGTAGGTGATAAAATTGTAGGTAACATGTTGTTGGTTACATTCTGCTTTGTTTCTCTGGCCTTGACCTAGTGGAAAAATCCTGGGCTTTGGCTTCAGTTAGATTTGAGTTTAAATTCTGGCTTCAATATTTTTCCTAGCTGCTAACCTTGCTTTGTTTCCTCACTTGTAAAATAAGGATAAGAATATTGCCCTTCAGGGTGGTTGTGAGAATTTTGTGAAATAATGTAGGCAAAGACCTTTAAAGTTGAGTCAGGCACATAGTAAAATCTTAAGTCAGTTCTTCAGGTAGGTATCTGAATAAAATGAAGAATGATATTGGGAAACAAAGTATACCGGTTTTTCTCTTATAAAATGCAGGTACCACTGTGACTAGAGAATGAATATTCACAAAGAAGTATTAAGATTTTAAGATGCCTGATTAACTCAGCACGTTCTTATATAACCTAAATAATTTGTGACAGTTAATAAGTTCATTCTTGATGATGCTTGCATTTCACATTATGGGAGTGTAAAGCATTTTGATCAATGATCTTGTAAACAAACATTTTGAAGCTCATGATCTCGTATAATAGGAACATTTTCTCACAAGTCAAACTAAATTCACGCAGCGTTCTTTGATTTGTTTTTTTCATGTGAGCTTTTATCACTTTGATCTTTTAGATCTTTTCAGTTTTATCGATTTTGTGATGAATTTTTCTATCGTTTTTACTTATCTTCCTTTTCATTTTTTCTCCTACTTAATGTTAAATGTTGGCAATTTCTGTTTATGCTTTGGTTTCATCTTTCCCCTTCAGGACATTAAAAAAAATAAAAAAAGCAAAAACAGTGATGCATTTTATTCTACTGCCTATACAGAAAAATATCTTGGTATAATTATCTCAGTGGTTGTAGACATGGCCTGTGGTGCTGATTAGTGTTTGGGGTGGCTTGGAATCATCATGCCTTCTCAAGAAGGGTGACAGGGAACAGCTAGATTCTGACTGTAGAACTGAGGAGCTTTCTATTTGATTTTGGGGCTATTTCTTAGTTTATTTAAGATCATTCTCCGCAATTTAGTAATTGAGTGTTTTCTGTTGTTTATTTAATAGATTAGCTCAGTTTAAAAATATTTTCTTTATATTTAACTTTATTACTTAAACTAAGACAAAAGATACTTGGTTTAAGGAAATCTGAGAATGATGAAACATCTAAGGACCTTCCTTTCTTGGCTTACTGTTAGTTTATTTTAGAATGAAATGCATGTATATGAAAATTATGTTCTTTTATTATTATTATTTTTAAAGATTTTATTTTTCTTTTTCCTCCCCAAATCCCCCCGGTACATAGTTGTGTATTTTAGTTGTGGGTCCTTCTAGTTGTAGCATGTGGGATGCCACCTCAGCATGGCTTGATGAGCGGTGCCATGTCTGCACCCAGGATCCGAACTGGCGAAACCCTGAGCCGCCAAAGCAGAATGAGTGAACTTGACCACTCGGCCACAGGGCTGGCCCCCGACTATGTTCTTTTAAAAGCACGATTTTATCTTCTATCTCATTTAGTTTAAGAGAAATTCTTATTTTAAAAAATAATTTTCTTTATAGATTATTTTCTCTCTGTTATCTCAACATAATAACAGAAATGAACTATATTCATTATTAGTAAAATTACTTGTTTTATTCTATAATCATGTACATTGTCAGTTAAATAGATTAGGAACTCTTTAGCTTTTTTTCTTTTAGAAGAACTGAAATCAAATTCTCCCACACCTACCCAGCCTAGTTGAAGTTTTCATCCTGTATCCATGGTCATCCAGACACCCATGCCTAGTCTACGATACTTACTTACTCTTATGATGACCTAATTTATTTGTACTTTCTGACCATCATAGGTTTTGGTGGCCCTAACTGGAATAATTTAAGAAAAATTGATCTTAAACACAGCAGATCTAAAGTGCTTACTTAAATATTTATTCAAGCCTAATTGACAACAAATAAAATAGCTTCGTATTTGAGTTATTTTGGAAGCTGAAGAATTTCTCCAACTCACTATACAAGGGAGTATACCTCTGTCTGTTCAATAAGCCTCGGAACCCCTGTGTCTCAATACTACTGTGGGGACTGTTGATAATGTGCATAAACTGCTAGCGTGGGGTACCTCATACATAGCAGATAGTCAGCAAGAGGCAACTGTTGTTTTTATGCTCTATTAACGACTGGAGTAAATGATGACTGGAGTACATGCTTTCTACTGAAAATGCTGATTTTTGTCCTGCTTATGTTCACTACCATTCTTGCTTCCCTGAATCCTTACTCCTGGATAATCAAAAATGCCAGCAGAAACTAAAGGTGACCATTTTGCTTCTTTCTAAAGAAAAAAATTAATATTGACTACTGTTGTTAAAAATAAGATATTTGTGTTATATTTATAAAGCAGGTCTTGGGAAAAAGTGATTTTTAAAAAAATGTCTCTCTAAATGGTCTTGGCTATTATTTGAGACCTTACATATTTGAAAAGTCTTTATTCTTTGTCACAATTAATGGACGGTTTGGCTGGATATAGAAATGTACTTAGAAAATAATTTTCCTTTAATTTCCAACACATTTAAAGCCTACTAGATAGACTTCTGGCTTCCAGTGGTTGTGTTGAGAAATTTCTTGCCATTTTGAGTCCTGATCTTTAGTCTGTGACTTGTTTTGTCACTCAGGAACTTTTAGACGTCTTCTCTTTATCCTTGTTAATGTAAACATTTTATGTGGTATCTTTTTGCCTCCAGTGGATGTTTGGAAATGTGTGGAGACAGTTTTAGTAGTCACAGTGACTAGGAATGCTGAGGGAGGGTGCTTTGGCAATTAGTGCCTAGAGGTCAACGAGGTTAATTTTCTTGCAATGCAGGAAGTGGTCTCACCCAAAATGTCAGTAGTACCCCATGGGGAAGTATTGTAACCCTGGAGAAATATAAAAATAATCCTGATATGCATATTGGTTATGGTGTATGACAAGAGAAACAAGACAGATACACCAAAGATTAATCTCTGTGTTTGGTAATAATCTTATAGACATGCTGTGTGAAACAAGGGAGGAAGAAGGTGTAAATGACATGGTACAAATTGGAATAGAATAAAAATCACTACATGAAATACAGCCATTAAATTATCTATGAGTATGTATTTACCATGTTACTGCTTTTTGTTTCTGGTTGCACATTATCTGCACTATTGTGCTTAATCATATTTTTATCACTTTTTTCTTATTTCTAAGTAGTACCTTCTCTTAATTACTTTGGTAGGTCAAGAAAATTATTAACTCTTTTCTATAGTTGGCTATCTATTTGTAGTCCAAATACTTAACAATTCCAGATCCAGAAAGATTTGAGAAATAACATTTTTGTGAAGGCTACAGCTTGACAGTGATAGCTATACATTTTTAAGTTGGAGTGGGATTCAGAACGGAGATGAGGAAAGGTTGTACATGTTCAGTTTAATAGCAGCCTCTTGAGTTAGCAGTTTGCTGTTTGTTTCGTTAATGTTGAGAAGTGAATTACCAGAATACTATATATGGATAGCTATATTATGAGAATGCAAACACTCAGTGACAAAGACAAATTGCTTTTGAATTATCTACCATTTTTTCATGGTCTGTATCACTGCTTTACTTCACTAATCTGGCTGACCAGGAAAACTGTACGTTAGAAATACAAAACACTAGGGAAGCAGAAAGGGAATTAGATAATTAGGTGGGAAGACAGTGGAAGGTATTAAAGTAGTAGTTTGATAATTTTGTTTTAATGCAATAATTTTTAGACATTTTAAAATAATTAAGTATTAAAGCCTAGTCTTCATTTTAATATGAATATATATACTTTTACTTTTCAGAACCTAAATCACAGCCACAGCAGCTTCATCAGGGACAACACAGATTGTCAAATGCTGAGCAAAATGGAGTAAAAGATAATAATCAACCAAGATATCTTCCTCGAAATGATACCAGACAGTCAAGAAATGAAAAACCACCTCGTTTTCAAAGAGACACCCAGAATTCAAAGTCATTTTTAGAAGGCAGTGGATTACCTAGAAACAGAGGTTCTGAAAGACCAAGTACTTCTGCAGGCTCTGAAGTATGGGCTGAAGAGAGAGTCAAGTGTGATAGACCGTATTCTAGATATGATAGAACTAAGGATACTTCATACCCTTCAAGTTCTCAGCACAATGATGGTGCTTTTAAAAGAAGGGATAACTCTATGCAAAGCAGATCGGGAAAAGGTCTATCCTATGCAGAGGCAAAAGAAAATCCACTTCCTCAAGAATCCGTAGATTTTAATAGTCAAAAACGTGGGAAAAGAGAAAACCAAATAGCTAATCCTGATCATTTTTATGACAGGAAGCCAAGAACAATAAATAATGAAGCTTTCAGTGGTATAAAAATTGAAAAACATTTTAATGTAAATACTGATTACCAGAATCCTGTCCGAACTAATAGTTTCATTAGTGTTCCAAATGGAGAGACAGAAATGCCACCGAAGGGAAGGCGAGTGGGACCTATTAAGCCAGCAGGACCCATCACAGCTACACCCTATGATGATAAAATATTTTACAATAGTGGACCCAAAAGAAGGTCTGGGCCAATTAAACCAGAAAAAGTACTAGAATCATCTATTCCTATGGAGTATGCAAAACTGTGGAAACCTGGAGATGAATGTTTTGCACTTTATTGGGAAGACAACAAGGTATGCATGCTGTAAAGATATTATAAACTAATATTACTAAATGTAACATTCTGGTGAGACTATAGAAAGCCATTGCATGGGGACTGTGAATTTTGTTCTACAGTTGTACCTATTTAAAGTCTTTGAACAAATTTATGGATGTATAATTTATAAAAGGGGAAAAAGAAAATATTTAATATTTTTTATGGATGCTTAGGGAGGATCAGTCCCATAAGATTTGGGTAGGTTAGGCTTGATTAGGTTATATATCAGGAAGGTATTGTAAAAGTGATTAAATGAAGTTGATAAATTATTTCACTTATCAACTGAACTATTAATATGTTTGCTTTTCTTTCTAGTAAAAGTATACTGATTCACAAGGAAGAAAATCAGTTGATTGGCACCAAGTTAAATTCTGCAGATTTTGTTTAAATTAAAGAAAATATACACAATCAGCCTACATATTTTAAAAAATTAAGAGTAGAAAATTTAATTATTTAGCTAATAATAAATAATTTAATAATTATTAAACCAATAATTTAAATATTCTTTAGTTCTATGTTATATACTGGCTAAAAGGGAAAGAGGGAAATTGTGGAGAAAAGGGAAGGGAAGGGAAGGGAAGGACTGAAGATGAGGTCAAGGATTATGGTGCATTAGGTGAAAGAGCCTGGCTGAGAGGGAGAAGACCAACACAGTGAGAACAGGAAGGGGAATGGGACAGAGGGACCCTTGGAGAGAAGGGCCTTGTTTTCCTTTCTGCCCAACATGCTCTTCTGCCAACTATTCTTCTCATCCTGCAGGGCTTGGCTCAAACATTGCTTCCTAGAAGAAGCCTTCTTCGACTTGCCCCCTCTTCCTCCTACATTGTTGTCTTTCTCAATCAGTGCCTTGTTCACTTTCTAAAACTTACCACAGTTTGTAAATATTTTTGGTTTTGCTTCCTAGATTGATAGCTCTTTCCCCTACCATAATTTTTCTTTTTTCTTTTTCTTGAGGAAGATTAGCCCTCAGCTAACATCTGTGCCAGTCTCCCTCTATTTTGTATGTGGGTCACTGCTACAGCATGGCTTGATGAGTGGTGTAGGTCCGTGCCCAGGATCTGAACCCTCTAACCCAGGCTGCTGAAGCAGAGCACACCGAACTCAACCACTGTGCCATGGGATGGGGTGCCCGCCCCACCTCCCCAATAATTTTAAGTTCCTTGAAGGCAGAATTATGTCTTCTAATTTTCCTCTGCAGCTCTGCTCCTCCCACAGTGTAGTGACTTTGTAATTATTTGTTGACTCTGTTAATTAGTTAATTCTGAAGGAGGCGCTTATATAGGAAAAAATAGGGTGGTTAGAGGACTGGAGATATTAGCAAGGTAATAAAAACAAGGATAAAAGAGTTATAGTGTGAGGGACATGGGTGGATATAAGGATCAAGTCAAAGGAAAAAATATTTGAAGTAAAGATTTCATAGGTAGATTAGTTTCAGTTGATAAGGTAAGGATGTGCCCATTAGAGTGTGTGTGTGTGTAGCTAAAAGGAGTGGTGGAGGTAAAGTTAACTGAAGATTTCAGGGAGCTAAAATTGAGACTAGGGAATGTGCTTAAGTCTTTTTAAAGGACACTATAGGCCTTCAGATCAGGAACTGGACCCCATTGTGTTCAGTGAATGAGGCATAAGCACAGTGTGAGGTGTTACCTGATGATAACAGCAAGGAGGGAGGGGTTCATGGTGGTATAACTAGATGGCATGGTCTTTTAAGGTTTTTATGTGAATGTGAGATAATGTTTGTCTAGGAGCAGCATCTCTACTGTCAAGATTTTATTCAAGGCTAGAAGGAGGGGAGGAGACAGCACTTGCTGTGTTTTTTTCTTTTTTTCTAGAAAAGCACAAGCCTTCACAGAAATACCAACAGACAAAGTCATTGGTTGGAATTATTTCACATGGCTACTCCCTGGCTAGCAGGGAGGCTTAGAAAAGAAGTACAGATGTTCTTCACTGTCCAGACTCTTACTCTTGCAACTCAGACCACTCACTTTCCAAAATACAGCAACTTTTTGATTTGGGTAGTGGAGGAGTACTTGGGTTCAGGCTGTTTCTCCCTCATGGTAGAGGCAAGAAAAGGTGAAGTAGTTGGAAATCAGTCTTGGTTTATAGAGCTAACAGTGTTTACCTTAGAGAAAGTGGCCACTTGTGTCTGATGCATCTGTGAAAGGTTGCTTAAGATGAGGATGGAAAAATATTTTTCTGTACTGGACAATTTGGGGTTGTTGGTGACCTTGGCGAGCAGAGGAAGTAAATTCAGATTGGAGTTCAAGTCCAATAATGTTTGAAAGGCTTGGTAAACAACTCAGGCTTTCCATTGAAATCCCACAAGGATCATGCCCTAGTATTAATTGCGAAACTAATACAAACAAACCATTACAAAGCCTAAAACCAACTCTTTATAGGATTAAGGATATCTGCTTGTACTCTGTCTGCCTGCCAAAAGAAAACGTAATCCTCTTTTTGGGAAAAATAACATTTTCAGAAACCTCTTCAATATTTCATCTGCAGTGTCTGGCATCCTGTAAAAAATTATGAGGCATGGTTAAAAATACAGAGAGAAAATATAAATGACCAGAAACAAATAAAGCAACAGAGAGTAATAACAGACCTACAGATATTCAAATATTAGATTTGGGAGACAAGTTCTTCCACAAATATTGAGTATTCAAAAAACCATAATTGAGTAGCTGCTAAGTGTCAAGTCTTTGGGATATATCAGATAGTTCTAGCTGTGCTGTTACCCAGCAGGTTCACATACCTGATAAGATTATTAATAAAGCTTTACTTTTAATTGTAATGGTTTCGAAAAATCAATAATACTGAATCCATTAATTGCCTCACCTGAATATATTCAAAATAACATCATACAGCTTCTGAAAGACAGTACTTAACAATTCCCAAAATGTTTTGAGCTTTTGGAGTATTCTTAGAATAATTGAATGATCTTCTAAGGAGATTACTTTGATTTTAATTGGGTGTATGCTTTCAATTTAGAGTGAGGGACTCTGGGCTCTGTATAGATTATACCGTTAAGCAAATAAGGTAAATAAGATATTCACCCTTTGAGAGAGATAGGATTAATTATCTTCTGAAATGGCCCTATTTAAGAGAGAGCTCTTAAATGTCTTGTCAAGAGTAGGCAACTTTCCAACTTTCTAGCCAGGGACCAGGGTAAAGATTTAAGAAAAGGCATTGACTATAGCTGTCACTAAGAAACTGTAATCTTAATTGCATTATAATGATGTTTTGGAGATAATTAATTAGTATAGTCTTTCATTTAAAAAAAAAAATCACACTATCTTGCCTTCTCTCAAGCTTTGTTTCCATTGAAGGATTTGAGAATTTAGGACAATTATTCTTCCTCTAGACTGCCATAACTAGTTCAGCTCTTTCTGCCCTCTCAACTGGAATACTGTAACAACCTCCAAACTGGTCTTATTGCCTTAAACCTTGTTCCTCTTAAATATGTCATCTTAACTGCCACGACCATGATCCTGGTCTTAGACCTTGTCATTCTTCCTAGTTAAAATCTTTCACCTGTACGATAAATACAGACTCTAGCATGTGTATAGAGCCTCTGTCATCTGACCCTTCCCTTCTTGTCCTGTCTAATTTCCTATTGGTTGATCCTTCTTCTCATTATGCCATTATTAATTTTAAACTGTTTGTAATTTCCTGTGCTCATCTTTATGTTTTATATGTCTCCGTAACTTTCCCTGGGGCACCCTCCTCAGTTCTTTACTTAGCTAAATCCTCATCATCCGTGAAGACTGTATCCATTGTTATCTGTCCCAGGAAACTTCCCAAACTCCTCAACCTTATTAAGTGCAGTATCAATACACTTTCATTACAGTATTTTCCGCATTATAGAGAAGTCATTTTTCAAACGGGTTGTCGTTATTGAACGCTAAGTTCCTAAAAAGGATGTCGACTTATTTGTTTCCCTAAAGTATATTAGGATTCATTGTTTGTTGAACTTATGTAAACTGACATAATTATCTCAGAAGCTTACAATTGAAGCATAGGTCCAGAAATACAACAATTCATAGAACGCAGAATTGTGAGGCTAAGAAATAAAGGAGGAAAGGAGAGATGTGACTGTGAATCAAGAATCCTGAGATAAAGAGAATTCCAGCATGGTATCTCTAAACTTGCTAGTATCCAGACCTGGGAAGGGAACCCCATGGATTAACTTAATAAACTTTGTAGTATGCAGTATACTAGTTAATCAGGAAAAACAGATTCTTTCCTGGACACCCAGGGTAACATATTTTAGAAGGATATGGAGAATAAGAATTTTTGTTGCAGGTAGCATTTTCTGCTTCTGGTAAGCCGATTAAGAGATAGTGTCAGAGTAGATAGTGCTATAGTAGAACATCCAACTTCCCTAGGTTGAAGAAAATATTCCTTAAAAGTAAACAGTTTTCCCGATGCTGCATAAACATCTTATACGTTTTTTTTTTTTTACTACTTACTTAAGATATATTCCAGAAACCTTTCTTAGAATGTTAAAAAATAAAATTCAATGTCAAAAAAAAGTAGTTTTTCATTTCCAGTTCATCTTCTCTAAGCAACATCCACACCTATAAGTTGGGTTGACCTGTAGTGGAGGAATACTCCATCCAGTTGTCCTACTCCCAGTTACCTTAACAGATAAATTTTAAAATTGTGGTTGTTATATAAATAGTTCCGTGTGAGTTTGCTAATGTGCATTATTTGCAGAGCCAAGTAACACTGGGTAAACTGATAAAATAAAAGTGTCTGGTCTTGCAGTGTCTCAAATCCTATCCATCCTGGATATAAGTAACGTGCTTGCTCCTTGCCTGGCATCCCTGCTTCACCCCAGCTGCCTGTGGTGACTGCAGCGATGATTCTTCTTCCTTGACATTTATTTTTGTCGTATATTCCTATTTTTTAAATAAATTGCTCCATAGTTGTATATTCTGATTAGTTTGTCTTACAAACGTTAGTCAGACGGCTTTAATGGCTAACCACAAAACATAACGCTAGTTCTTTTTACAGCCATGAGCATGTGAATATTCTTCTCTGCTGGCTTTCTTAGTTGTGTCCCGAAATGTTACTACTGCTCAGTATGTGTCAGAACTTAAATAGATGAGACCTCTGTTTTTAGTCAATTTATGGTTATCCAAAGGTAAGTTTTCTTTCTTAAAAAGATCCTCTCAGAAATTATTTTCTTAAAAATATTGTATATTTTTGAAAGTTGCTAAGAGAGTAAATCTTAAAGTTCTCATTACAAGAAAAAGATTTTGGTTAACTGTTTGGTGATGGTCATAACTAAATTTATTGCGGTAATCATTTCACAATATATGCATACGTCAAATCGTTATGTTGTACACCTAAAACTAATGCAATGTTATATGTCACTTATATCTCAATAAAATAGTTAATTTTAAAAAAATGAACTTTCAAAAAAATATTGCACATTGTAACACCTTGAGTATTTACATTTCCATTAAATATTGCTCTTTGTAGACATTACTGATTGTCATATTTAAAACTCATTTTTGTCTCCTCAGTTTTACCGAGCAGAAGTTGAAGCTCTTCATTCTTCAGGTATGACAGCAGTTGTTAAATTCATTGATTATGGAAATTATGAAGAGGTGCTACTAAGCAACATCAGGCCCATTCAAACAGAGGCATGGGTACGTGATCCAAATTCTGTACAAAGGCATAAGCTGTTTTCAAGTAAATACATGGTTCTAAAAGATTAGTCATAGTTATACAAAATTGCAAGTGGAAAAATATTTTGAATTTGCTTAAAACTGGTTGCCCCTAGAGTAAGAATTTAATTTAATAATTACTGGACGACAATAAAAATGATTGCATTGGAATTACTTTTCTTGTATAATGCTTTGTTATATTATGCTTTGGAAATGGGTACCCGTATTTACATGTTTGCCAAAAATTTGTATGTGTAAGATGGGTTTTTATGCATATTTTGCTTTTTTCCCAGTTTTTTACTTTAAATTTATCTAAATAATGTCCAGCAGTTGTCAAATTTAAATCCCTGTTGGATACATCCATATTCTTTATTATTTTAGTTACATGTAAAATTAACAAAAACACTTTAAATTGTATATGAATCCACACTGCATTTACTACACATATATATATGTACAGATTAATTATAAATATCTGTTTAATAATTATTTGATTAATTTTATTGCCAAATGTTATGTCAAGGCTGTGTGGTAATTTTGATGATGTAATTTAGAACGTATTGGCCTCATGGAGTCCATTTTATATAGGACTTAAGTGACTTTATATAGATAGATTCCCAACTACATTTAGGCAAAAATAGGAGGACAAAGTATATTAGGATTAGTTTTATAAAGTTTTTAAAATTTTTGTTCTCCAATTTGTGAGTAGCTGTTAATAAACTTATCATTAGAAGCCTAATTTGTTGCTATTTCCCTAAAATATCAAAATATACTAGAAAATTATATCATCCAGACAGTAGCCTTCATCATTGAAGCGTACATTGTTTTCTCATGAGCTGTTTTTAGTTTAGTTTAGTTTTGGTCTTACATTTTTGTCACATCCTCAGTATCATACCCTCTGCCCCCTCCCCTCCAAAAATGATAAATAAAACAAAAAACCTAGTACCTGTAATCATATTTGGGGCCATGGATCTTTATTCTTTGCCTTTTTATTCTAGGAAAACTATTTTCTAGATAATTTATCTTTTCATATTTTACAGTATAATGTTACTCATGACTCATGTTTAGTTAGGAGATCCTTTCCCTCACTCTCATTCTCTAAAGTTTAGTTGCTTTTTCCCTAAAAGACTGAAATACCATCAATATCTAATTTAAGTCTTTCTTTTCTTGGAGAAACTTGACATAACCATATTTTTGCCCTTCTGGTTCTCATATGATGACTATTTTTATTCTCTTTTTTCCATTAATACTCACATCTTAATCTAGTTTTGATGGTAAAAGTAATTACTTATTGGGTCTATATTTCTAGAAATTGAGTCTTGGTTTGCTGTTTATTGTGTGTTCCCAAATATTTTTAGCCATTACAGTCAAGATTCAAAATAGAATGTTTATGTTATTTGGGTTTTTAAAAAATTTTTTTAGAAGGTTTAATAAGAGATTAAGTTTATTCTTTTCTCTCTTTCTGAAAAGATTTTGTTTTCTTACTTTGTTTCTTCTCTACTTCCTTTTTCCATTCTAGGGTGGCCATACTGATGAGCTTGTTTGTCATTCCTTACTGTAGCTCTTCCATTTAGAGATGTTTGGTATTGAAGTGATAATTTTCTTTCTAAAGTCAGTGACTTTTTGTTTTTCCTCCTTAATAGTCCTCATTGCTTTATAACTGATTTTAGGTCTGTGTAAACTTAGCTGGACTATAAATTTATCAGATGTCACAGGCCATGTAGTGATTCTGTTCTGAGCCACAGCAATACTTTCATATTCTTTCTACCCATTTATGAATACTCATCTATGCTTTATTGTGCTATTTTTTACCTATTTACATTTTCTGTAGTCAACTTAAAAATCTTTTATAAGATGCTTGAAATATTTTGCAGGAAGAAGCAGGATAGAATCACTAAATATTTTGGAAATTCTAGCATTTCTTTTCTCCTACTTACAAATAATCAAATGATTGTTGATGTTTTATTATTTTGCATAATTTAATATAACAAATATTTTTGGATCATGAACATCATTATTGAGGCTAAGATGGTCCTTTCTTCTTTATCTATATGAAGAATTGACTTGTAGAAGCATCTCCTTCTTGACATATATAGAAGCCATCAGGTTAACTTTTCTTCACCCATCTCCATTTTTTAAAAATACATGTGTGCATATATACATAAAAAGCCCGTGAAGAAAAACAGTCTGAGTAGCTGTTAGTACATTTAATGTAGAGTTAGAGTTCTCTTAGCCTATGACAATATTAATGTTGGGGTCTATGAGCACTTTTTCATTTTGTACCTGCGAAATTATAACAGGTTTTAAGTTAATCAAAACCAAAACGTTCAGTATACCAATAAGAAGGTAACTAATTGACAAGTCAGACTTTTAAAAGGCTACAAAGGTGCAGCAATGTTGTTAGAAGCCTTAGCATAATTATTCACTCACACTGTGGATTGTCTAATCTTTAATTCTTTTTATTCTTGCACTATATAGGTACATTGCTATTTTTAGTTGTGAAATGATATTGTATCTTTTACTAAGGTTTATGTTTATTATTGGCACAAGATTTTGGAAAACCTCTTGTTTTCCTAAATGTAGCAATGATCATTCGTTGAAGATTTTTTAAATAGTTTTCAGGAAAAACAACCCAAAAAGTCTGCATATAAACCAAAAGCCTTTATAGAAATCAGTTGCCTGTATTTTCTCTTAAAGGTGTAAGAACAAATCATAAATGAAAAGCGTGAAATATTAAGAGAGTCAATGACCAAGTTAATAGTGTGCCTTGTATGGAAAATTAAAATAAAAATCAAGTTAATAGTTAACTCTAAGCATTAATATTATCTCACGAAGTTTAGGAATTATTTGCCTTAAATCTGTCAGACCAAGTATCTGTTTTCCCTTTTTATCTGGATATACCTTTTTACTTCCAGAACATGCTCACTTAGTGATGATATTTTAGATGGCAAAAATATATGTTCCAAAATGATTAACTAAAGTTTTGGTAAGTCATCCTTGACTTTGTTTGTTCTAGCTAGATTTCCCCTGGTTCTTTTAGTATCATAAAATATTCTTTCTTAATTTTAGTGTCTTTATTATAGTGAACTCTCTAATTATCACAAATTATGTTAGGTTCACAGCTCATTCTTAACTAAATAAATGTTCTAGGTTGTTTTTCAGTGTTCTTTGAACATTGTAGGATTTTCCTTATTTTAGCAAAGTAAATGAAGCATTCTAGAGTCTCATATTATTTGTAAAATTATAGATAGAGAAAACCATAATATTATTTTATATTTCTGACCACTGTACGAGAAAACGTTAAGGTCAAAGAAAACCTGTGGTTTGTATTCCCTGCAGGCCCTTTCCAAATTGCTTCCTTTTAACTCTAAAACTAATACCAGGAAATCTGTAAAAAGACGCTACAGGCAATTTGGAATTACTGTAAAATACACTGGAACTGCTGCTTGGACAAATCTTTTGTGTTTTGAACGTACTACTTTGTAAACTTTCTTCTTCAAAGTTCATAGGATTTATTTCTTTGTATCAGGAAATCATGCTTGTTCCACTGTTGTTCCAACTAGAAAAAATATGATTGTATAGATAATGGTTAGTTCTAGGACCTTAACATACACATCATCTTGAGCAGGAATTCTGGAAAGTGACGGATAGATTGTTATTGTCTTTTAGATGATCATCCTACCTTAAGTGTTTTTCTGTAGAGTATTCATTTATTCAACACATAGCCATTACACGTCTATTAGGTCCAGGCGCTGTTCTAGGTGAGGGGTATACACTAGTGCATAAAACACAAAAATGCCTGCCAACTGCAGAAAGTTAGAAGAAAGTTGTAGTTCCAGTAATGTGAAACAAACTTAAATATTTCATGAGAGTCTTTATTCTTAACTCTTGAAGCTTTAAAACAAAATACAAGTGGAGAAAATCTTGCTTAGTGAAGTTTTCATTTAAATAATGTTATTTTATTCGACCTTACTTTAAAGATAAAATTTATATGGAAGAAGAAAGTATGACTTAATGAATTTTATCTATTTAAAAAGCTTTTATCTATTTATTTTACCTATTTAAAGAGTAACATTTGTTTTTAGGAGGGTTGGGTTTTTTAAAATAATTATATATTTCTCAGTTTTAGCATACTTTAAAAAAGAATTATCAATCTCAAGTTTTAATTCTGAAGTAACTTTGCACACAATTTATTTTATAATGACATCTGGGTAGCACATTTGGAAATTACCTTTTCAAATTCAAATAACATTCATAAAAAGCCATAAACTCTTCTACCATTAATAAAAATATTAAAAAGAAACATATAGCAAAAAAAGAAAAAACTGTAACCTATTTAATGAGGGAAGAGATTGAGAGTGGTAATATATAAATTAATGAGTTAAAATGAATTCTAAATGTATTAGAACAAGATCATGTTAGCGATTTTAATGACATAGTGATAAAATTAGGCTGTATCTAGTTTGTGTTTGATATCACAAGATCATAATAGATATTAAAAAGAGGACAATTGTTATAGAAACCATTAACTTCAAAGGAAAATTAGAATTATGTAACAGTGAGGTTCTGCCAATTAGTATCCAGTAAAAAGTGCAAGCATCTATTTGATCACAGTCCAGAAGGTTTTTCATTCTTGCTGATAAATTCTTAAATAAATTAGTGGGTATAATTTGCCATACTTAAATTTCTGCACTAAAAGCATAATTTGATTAAGGTCACTGAAGTACATTTTCTTCCACCATGCATATTTTGGAAAACTTTCCTTTCAAAGATTGTCATATGGGCAGTGCTTATTTTCTTTTGCTGCATAAACATAGAGTAAATCAGATGAAACTGTACAGCTAGTTTAGCCCCATTTAAGAATATAATTTCAAATCACAGTGATAGAATTTGGGGGATTCCGTGCAATATCTTTTTTTTTTCCATGCAACATCTTTAAATTTTGTTTGAATAAAACTTGGTTGTATTTGATATGCTTTATTTATTTCTTCATCTATTACCCAGCCTTTCACAATTCCCACAGGAGGTTGTGGATTATACAAAAAGACTTTTACTGGAGATAGGAAAGCTGTTGATATAGAGGGAGAGATGATTCATTCATAATGCATGTCATATGCATAGATATGTCAACTTAAATAATGTTGATGTCTACCCCCGAAGTCCAAATTCAGTTTGTGATAGCTAAACCTAACAGATTACTATGAAAACCTTGGGATCTAGTTTTGACTTGGCTACGTTATTCAATAGAGACATTTTATTTCACGGATTTAAATTAATACTAATAAAGTAATATGCTATTTTAAGAACTTTTTCAAAAGTATTGTTTGAATTTCGATATCTGATAATTTAGTATATTGTAATCTATTCAAAGGGCTGTATATAAAAATATCTTTAAAAGGTTTTTGGGTAATCTGAGTTTTCCTTTATTGAACAATGAAAGTACAGATTATATTATCATTTCATGTTCCTTTTTTCTGAAGGTGAAATAATTCCTAAAGTGAAATAACATGGCAGGATATTACCTGAGATGCACTTTCTTTTTAAAGTTATTTCAACGATACTACTCTGATTTGTTTCTAACCTTAATTACAGTTCATAAAACAATTTAAACCTTAAATTATTTAAATATTGATATTAAATATCAAGTTAGTGTAACTTTTTGAAAAATCCACAGCATTTTTTTTGTGTGTACGTGAATAATATCAGTAGATATTAAGAATATTCTATCTTCTAAGTCTCCCCTTTATTATTGCAACCTTAAGTATGGGCTCCTGAATTATGATGTTGGTTAATTAAGAAGTAAATTTATGATGCTTTAGATTTATGCTGAGTATTATATAATTTTGGTTTTTCCTTCAAAGTAGTCTTAGGGAGGCATCATGGTGAGATCTGCAGCTGAAGGGGGCTGGGATTGTCAGCTGAACTTATTTTTTCCTTGACATTTTTGATTCAGTAGACCCAGGGTTTGTTCTCTTCTAAGTGTAAATTGTGTTTTTTTCATTTACTTTGTTTATTGGGACTTTTAAAACTGTAATTTCAAACTGCACTGAATTTTGCCATTCCTTTGCATATATATGCAAAAGACTCGCTAATATACTCATTGCATAGGAAATAAAGTAGTAAAATAAATTAATCTGAGAAATGCTTTTGTTTTGTTTTATTTCTTTGTTCCCAAAGTTGCTAATCTTATATTGGGTATCTGCCTTGACTAGACACTCATTCGGTATGTTTTAAAGATTTTTATAAATCTTCTTGAATTAAAAAAAAAATAGACACAATTTTGTTTTAGTTTCTAGTGAATTTCTAAACCTCTTCCATCTGCACCTAAAAAAAGCAGAAAAGTAATGTTGCTCATTGCACCATAGACTTGATTCCCTTTCACGATGAGCTCCCGCAGTGTCTCTCTCCTCCTCTGAAGTCAGTGGTTGTGAACTTTGATGGTGTTGGGCAAAAAGGGGACTTAGGATGCATATCTGATGGCATACATAGTGAGTCATCGGTTGTCTGTTCTCTTTAATCTTACGTGGTCATCTCTATGTCTCTACTTGATACTATTTTTCTATATTCTTCCTTTTGTCATTTTATTTATCATCTCTCTCTGTCTTCACTCTATTTCCTAAACATCATTTTATCATTTTGGTTTCTTTTTTTAACTTTATGTTCTTTTTACCTTTAGTAGGTAGATATCTCTTGGTGTATGTGGACTACCTCCCTACTGATTCTAATTTCCTAAACTTTACTGAACCTTTGCTATTTATTGTAAAACCATGTGCAATAGGCTTCACTGTCACAACTCTAGGAAAAGAGTGGAGTTGATTTCTTGGGAGAAATACTCTGGTGTTATAGAGCTTCCAGTTCCATTAAACTTGGGAACTACTGGCAAGAGTTTTACACCTTGGCTTGAAATAACTCCCTTAGCTGCCTGTCATTGGCTGAGAGCTCCATTCAGAAGGGAAAGGAAGTACTGCAACAGTGAGTACATTTTATTTGCCTTAAAAAAAAAAAGCATATAGTTTGAATAAATGAAGAGGCTCTAGTTAAGCAGCTTAGATCATTATAATAATACAAAAGTCATTATTTTTCTGTACATACCTTTTCATGCCTGGTCTGTCTAGCTCAGGGTTTTCTAAAGTGTATTATGAGAACATTAATTCTGCTTCATAGTTAAATAAATTTGGAAAATGCTAGGTTAAAAAAATTAAGTACACTTTTTGATTAAAGGACTTCTTTGAGTCCTTAACAAGTTAGTATGTATTTTAAATCTCAGAGAGAGAGATGTAATGCATTTTGCTTCACAAACTTATTTGCTCATGGAACTCTTTTTTTTTTATTTTTCTGTATAGAACCTGTTCTAGAAAGTCTACAGCAAGTACTTTGGAAAATGTCTTAGCTATCTTCTTTCTAGTTTTCCAAGTTCCCATCTTTAAAATAGGGTAAAGATTTATGTTTAGAATACATTGTTTTAGATGTTCCAGACTTATTAATAATATAATATTGTATTTTTATGTTATAAATAAAGGCTAAATATATAAAAGCCCATTTCTCCTGAAACATGTTCCAAGATTCTTTACCTTTCTGTGAATAGAGGACAAAATATATTCCTGAAATGTTATGTCCCTTCTAAGTACTCATCCCATTAGTAATACTGTTTTATTACATAAAAATAAAATTAAGAGATCTTATTTTACATGTAATTATACACAACTCACTGGTCTTTTAATTTTATTTCAACTTAACTCTAATTCTTGAAACTTTTATGTATTAACTTTTAGAAATTGTCATTTGTGAAGACTCCCATTATAGCTTTTATAATATTGCTGTCCTTTTCTGTAATTCTCACCTGATAACCCACATTATATTTATATATTCCAGCAGTAAGGGCGTTTTCATCATTTGTGGCTTTGTATTTGTTCTTCTTGAATAATCTAGTGTAAGGCAAAATCTGAAATCCCTTTTTTTGTTAAACCGGCATTGGCTACTAAATCAAAAGAAAGTGTGAAAGCAAGTTAATTCCCCTGGGAATGTGGGTATTCTTAAATGAAGAAGAGGATTCCTAAAAGACTAAAAATTGTTTGGTTTCAACATTGGTATTGTTCTTTTACTAATAGGCTAGTGTGTTTTGAAGCCTTTGAATAGTGTTGTTTTGATTTGTTAAAAGCTTGTTAAAAGCTTCCTAAAAAAACTAACAAACTCTTATGCTTAATTGCTCTTAATCTCCTATTCTTATTTTCCTGGTAACAGTTGTTAAGTCAGATCAATTAATAATCTTGTATCTAATTCCAGAGTTTACTTGAGAGATTTGGAGGGGAAAAAATTCTTGTTTTAAAAAACGTGCCTTGTTCCAGGCACTTATAATTATAAACAAGGGCAAAACTTATGGTTGGATAATAGCTAATGAAAGTGCAAAGAAATTCTATAAATAAGCAGTAGATATGTACTATAAGTACTTTCTCTTTTAAAGCTTCACGGGATCAGAATTCTAAGTGAGCACATGTACTGGCTTGGTAGTTGAAACAGTGAAGGGAGGTCAGTAATTATTTGAATGATTGATGTTGTCCTGGTGGTCACCTTTATTACTGAATAGTCCTTCTTCAGACATCAAGCTCAAGTATGAGAGCTTAATATGATAATTTTTCAACAAATATTCTTTGAGTGCTTTTTGTGACAAAGCTCCTTTGAAAAATAGATTGGCCTATATACTCAAGGGATTAACATGATATAAAAGAAGTAGAAGATATATTTCCTTCCTACAAGAAGCTACGTAATAGATATTAGTAAGGCCTTCATCAAATTGGGATGGTTCTAGTCAGGGAACTATTGTTGGCATGGTTCTTGGTTACAGTTTTGTTATGCATATTAAGTGAAGAGATAGTGTGAAGGAGGTAAGTGGGGAAGGCCAACATTGACTTTTCAAAGTTAGTGTTAACTTTAACAAACTTTATTAGCATTTTTATCATGCCAGAAGTGTTTCATTTTTTCCCAGATCACATGATTAGGAAATTAGGGTCAGTGCGCTCGGCCATGCTTAACAAAGAGCTTATTTTGCAAAGTAAGATATTAGAAGTCAGTTTAATTCTGTTTCTCTATGGTTCAAATTCTAAAATCTATGGACTTATGTTTTTTTTTAATGTTGGTAACCATTTTGAGTGCTATTTATTGAATGATTTAGGAGAATATCATAAGCATTTTATCTTGAAAAGACTTAAGTTAAAATAATGTGGAGGAAAGTACACTAATGTATTTTTTTCCTCATAATATAAATCTTATTATTACAAGGAATTCCTGAAATTTTTTTTTTTTTTTTTTTTTTTTTTTGCTGGGGAAGATTAGCCCTGAACTAACATCTGTGCCAGTCTTCCTCTATTTTGTGTATGGGTCACCACCACAGCATGGCTGACGAGTGGTGTGGATTTACACCCGGGATCTGAACCCACAAACCCGGGCCACCAAAGCAAAGCGTGCAAAACCTAGCCACTACACCACAGGGCTGGCCCCAGGAATTCCTGAATTTGGCCATCAGTACCCAAAAGAATGTTAGACTTAATTAGATTTTTAAAATATGGAATTGAAATCTTAAAGCAAAAGGAAAACGGAGATGTATCAAAAACTTGAGAGAATTAGTACTTGAAATTTGTTATCTGTTCTCAGTAAACCTTTTTGTGTCTTCTTCCTTCTTGTTCCTCTTTTCTTTTCCTCTTTGTCCTTATCCAGGCTCCTCCTCCTTGTCCTCTTCCTCTTTTATTTTGTTTTATATTTTGTGTGAGTGTTTGCCTTTTTATTCATCTTAAAGATTTCAAGTCGCTTTTAACTATTAGGTTGGATATGTTCCATCCCAGGCAGGACTGATGCTCAAATGAAATCTGGTTAAATAGAGCATCTCTTAAAGTTCAGAAGGTCTCTGAAAGCTTTGGGCACAAGTAAGTTGATATTCCTGGTTGATCTGATGCCCCGATTAGTGTTAATGCTCACTCACCACTTGGCTCTCCTGATAGTAGTTCTCATAAATGGCAAGACTGTTAGATTAGAGACTGAGGTGTATTGTAGCTGATTACAAAAAGATCTAGAAATGATAAAAAGTTGGTCATATGCCCAGTCCATTTAAATTATGTCCTCATATTCTTAGGAAATGAGCAAAGAAAACTTTCTCATTGAATGTGTTTAAAACTTATTAGAAATGTAAATGGTCAAGATGAGAAATTAAAATATGTAATTCCCTAAGAGGAATTAAGGAGCTATTCAAGAAACTAGAGACTGGGAGCTCTAAATTTTGTTATGTAAAATTAATTATAAAAGGCTACATTAAAAACATTTTAGATGTAATTTAGAAATGAATATAAGATTTACATCTCAAGATGATGTGCATATTTTCCTATTAATTTGTTGAAAATACTTAAAATTGGCTATGAAAAGACTGAGTATTCTATCCATTCTAATGATTATAATTACTGTAATGAAAATAATACTAAAGGAAGATAAAATAGGAAAAAAATGGCCATAGGGTAGGTTAAAGGTAGATTTAGTGTCTTGGTTCTTAGGCATTTTTCAAAATAATTTTTATAATGGTGTAATTGAAAAGCTTTACTGAAACTAAATTGCTAAACATAATTTTTTAAACAAACTGCTTTAAGTAATTTCGATTATAAAAACAAATTTTACTTTCTGAAATAAGAATTACTATGCTTTGAGGTTCCAATAAATTTCACATAAATGGCAAAATACAGCCAGAAATACTTCTGACACTGTTCACTGCTTATTGCGATTCTTGGGCCCAAGGCTGAGAAACATTTTCAGATTCTGTGTGCTTTATCCTGAAAGAATTTGATGAAAAGGAGTCACTGAGAGAGTTTAATGTCTGCTCTGCTTGGCCTTTGAAAGAAGGGGAGAGGGCAAGGCTGGTCTTGGGCAAATTACTTCCACCTCCCTTTTTGCCCCTGCTTCAGCTCCAGGGGAGCTGGAAATACACAGGAGGATTCAGAAGACCTGGGTCGAGTCCGGGCTCTGCCACTTACTACCTATGTGACTTTGGGTAAGTTACTTAATATCTCTGGGTCTCAGTTTCAGTACAGGGTTGTGCTGAGGAATAAGTAATATGATCAATGGAAATGTGCTTTGTAAACTCCCAAGGTCTATAGAAACATAAATTTTT